TCTACGCTACTTATTTATTAACTATATTAGTTTTATAGATTTTTTAATAGTAGATAAGGTAAGAATTATATTTTTTTTATTAGAAGTATTTTCTATTTTAGGTTATTAAGTAATTATAATATAAGAATAAAAGATAATATTTTCTAGTATAGGTATATTATTTACTTATCTATATTACTTACTTATCTATATTACTTACTTATTAACTATATTATATATTAACTAAATTTATAAATTTTAAAGTAAAATATATTAATAATTTATAATTTATAATACTTAATAAGTTTAATAAATTAATTTTTATATAATTAATAAAGTTAATAACTTTTTTATTATTTTATAATAAAACTTAATATAAGTATTTATAAAGTAAGTAATTTAATTTATTATTTTTAATTTTCTTAATAGTTTCTTCTATTTTTATAAATAATAATAAATAACTTATTAATAATAAAAGAAGTAGTAGTTAACTAAAGAAAAGTAAAAAGAGAGGTTATAGATATATTGTAGTAAGGTAATAAGATAATATAACTTTATTATTTATTAAGAAGTAGAAGCTCCTTAGTAGGTAGCTTACTATTAGCTTGCCCTTATATAGTAGCTATCTAACACGTGATACGGCTTCTGCTATAATAGTTAAGTTAAGCTTTAATCGAGCCATGACACGTTTAATCAGTTAAGTTTAAAAGCTGAAATTGAACTTGATTGATTGTTAGCCACACTGCAGGAAACCTGGGGACGGCTGGCGTTGTTTCAACAAGAAGGCGAAGTGGTGTGTAGAACCTGAACCTGAACCTGAACCTGGGTAGGTGAATATGGTAAACGATGGCACCAAACAAAGCCAGATGTCTACACAACCATTTCCTTCGGCCGCTGAAGGGAATCCTCTGAAGTCAGATACCGTGGTAAAAATTGAGTTACTTTAAACTTATGCTTTAACAGAAATATTACCCGATTAGGAATAGTAGTCAAGTAAAGTCAACCAAGTAAAGGACTTTTTGTAGCCAACCAAGTAAAGCAAGGGCTCTCGTCAACCAAGTCGAGTAACAAGGCCATTTTTTTGGTTTACTTGGTTGTTGGACACACTGTATGCTACGCTATTACCGTTCACAAGTCGCAAAGCATCACTGAAGATATGATTGTTACGTACCTCTCTTGCCGGGACTTTCAGACAGGTCTTAGCTACGTAGCTCTCTCCCGTGTGAAAACGCTCCAGGGCCTGATGTTGGATGCGCCATTTGATCGTAGCCACCTGTTTTATGAGTCTCCCCCGGATGGTATGAAGATGAAGATGAGGGATCAGCGTCATAGGAGACAATAGATTCTTACACGAAATCCCTACAAGAACACTAGAGTTCTGCATAAAAATCACACAATTGCTCAAAAGCTTAACTAGATGACTAACTAGTGTAGTGGCTATAATCACTGCTTGGTCCACGGACTGTCAGCCTTCGGATGATTCTACCCCTTGCAGTCAACAGCTCCAACGTGCAAGGGTTGGCGTAGTATTTGAACTAGCAACATGGTAAAAGAACAATGGGAAAGTGTTATCAAGATAAGCATGTAACAGATGAGACGACGGCTAAAACAGCCTACCACCACTTTTTGGAAGCGTCACGATTGACATTGGTGCCGCAGTGAGTCTCGCCCGCCCTTTTGTGATGGTCAAACCAATCATCCATATAAGTAATGTTGAAACCAAGCTTGGCATACTCCTTACTAGCAGCAGCAGCAAGAATATCAGATCCATCAATGACGGGACCCCACGGGTTGGGAGCCAAGTACTGGCCGTTGTTGTAGACGACGCCATTGATAACGGCCGGATAGAAGGCAACGACCCGGTTGTCGACTCGACGACGATCCAACTGATCTTCTTCCATGACGTCGTCGCCAAACGCGGGTGCAAGTTCATGCCAATGTTCAGACTCTTCCCTCCTCTGCCACATCTGGGCGTAATTGGGTCTACCGCACCTCCATCCTTGCTCATAGCGAAAGTACAGCGCGGGAATGCGAACAATGTCAGCGTCTGTGATGCCAGTTTCCCTCTTCATAATGTCAATGTTGAACTGGATTCTCTCGGCAGCAAACACGTTCCTTTCCTCAAAGTCTTGAATCTTGAGAACATCGTCGAGAGTATCCTCGGGCAGACAGTCGTTCTGTGTGGAGGCCCACGACATAAACGGCGAGTATTTAGCATCATAGGGCATATGCGGACGGGATAAGGCCTGCGGGCTGCCGTGGCCGTCTTTCTGGGCCTTTTTGAACAGGTCCAAAGCAGCCTTGGGGTCATCAACAACCATGACCCAGCCGCGCTCGTTCTTCGCCGGTAGGAACTGCATAAATTCGTCTGTGTGGCCAACCTTGAGCCAGTCTGTATCTAGCTCGATAGGAGGTTGAATCTCCTGGGCCTCGATAAAACTAAACATATGCGGCTTCTGGCCTCGATGACTGCCCATCACGGCTCGGCCATTAGGATAGTTTTTGCCATTGTGGCTGTGGGGAGGGACAGTCTCGAGGTTTCCCAGCGAGTCTATGGTCCATGGTCGATTGTCCTTTTCAAAAGGCAGATGCTGGACCGCTGCGACGGATGCAGATCTCAGTTGGGAGAAGACCCTGCGACCACTCTCTAGGCGAGACTCCAGGCCTTTGACTTGGCTGCTTCGAATTAGGATGCGAAGGACCACGGGGCCGTCTGGGCCGGGAATGCTCGTGTACCCTGCCTCAAAGGTGTCCTGCGCCCAGAGATCATTTCCTATTTCAAACTTGATGACGGGCACCTGGGCCGTGTATTTCTCCACAAACTCGTTAAACTGTCTCGTGCCACCGTCGTGGTTGTTGATGGAAGCAACGTACACGTCTGTCAGCTCTTGCAAGTGGTGGTGTATCAAGACAGGAGCAGCACGGAGTTCTACATGATCGGCAGCGGACTCGCCGTTGTCAGTCACGTTAAAGTGAACTTTAACCCTGCCATCCCATCCATTAGGTCGACGAACATCCCGGGCGTCAATGCCGAGCTCTAAGCCAGCGCGGAGCTCAGCAGCTTGGAATTGGAATCCTCGGCTATCATTGACGTAGGTCCAATCGTTGCCGTTCTTGTGGAAGATTCGGACTTTTTCATTAGCGAATTCGCCAGAAACGGTTACCAGACCTTGGGCCGCATCAGTCAAGCCAGTATTAGGGAGTGTTTGGAGAGGAGCCAAGAATTTAGGGTTTCGTAGAATATTATCAGAAGCATCGTTACACTTATCAAGATCCGGAAACGGAGTGTTGCTTGTGATTGTCTTGGAACACCGACGGTCCGTGTCCGCAATATTGGCCATAAATAGAGCTCCACGCTCCTCAGTCCAGGTCTGTTTTCCTTCAGCATCAGACTGAACGTCAACTTTTCCGTCGCGGTTTGTGTCCGCTAGAATCACGGCCTCAAGGGCCTGGCTGGTGGCCGCCAGGCCAAGGGCCATGGCCATGACTGCGGCTTTGCCGAAGGAGTGCATGATGAAGAAAGAAGTGCAGCCTTGAGTATTGAGGAGTTGACGACGAGATAGAACTCAGTGGAGCTGCTGTTTGCGTTTTCTGCTGAAGAAAGACCTTTTTTATTTATGGCGGGTGCACATCTTTTATAGTCGACAGGTTTGCGTGGGAGCGGCGGTTTTCAAGACACGGGGATTCCGAAATCTGACCATGGCGAGATCAACTGATGTCGTGATATTGACATCCGCTGAGTCAACTAATCCCGGTTGTATCTTCATGGGAGAAGCACCGAGTTTGAAATTGTAAAGGGTTGAAGAGTGGAGGTGTGATGATCAGCCGGGCCTGTATTCTCGTGATGTTGCTAACTTACCGATATTCTCCTCAAGATTATCCATCATGCTCATGGAACAAGGGTTATGTCACGACATGGGCTTATTCAGGGGCTAGAATTTATGCCTGACATAGTAGACGCTCTATATGTCGTGCGGTTCTCACTATTGGTCCTGACAGCACAAAGAAGGAAGACAGACACACAGGCAACAAGTGCCGCAGTCCACCAGGGAGGAGGTATATAGTAAGTAAGCTATTAGAATCGTCAACCGATTAGTACGAATTGCGGAACGACGGAATGACTCAATAGTTTTATTCTCGAATACTCCACCCTAATCTTTGACAAGCTCTGTACGTTGCGTTGATGTGTTCAGCTGGTTTTTCTTTTTCTACTTTGTCCTACTTGACATGTCATAGCTTGGCTCGATTTATGTCTTGATCAACTACAAACAACCACACAGCAATGGCCAAGATTAGATGAACACGGCGTTGAACACGGCACTGCGTACGACGGTTATGCCGTATCAAGAACTTGAATGTTGTTATATTTCTCCCACAAGGTGTAAAAGCATCATTGATGTTACACTACGCTTCAGTCGTTCGACTCGTTCGACTCGTTCGACTCGTTCGACTCGTTCCACATATCCATCAGGTTTAGGCACTAAAAAAGTCAAGGCCGCTTAATTTGGTAAGGGAATTGCTACGGGGGCCTGACACTTTGGCTACGGGCGCCAGACTTTATTTGTTTTAAACGCAGTATGAATCCTTCTTCTGGTTCAGCGAAAAGAAAGTTGGTCATGGTGTTGATATCGATCACCCGCGTCGTGTCACAAGTGGATGTGACATGATGGATGTGCCCTCGAATGCGCTCCTCTTGAGACTCGTCGCGCGGCGCAACTCTGTGCATGTTCCGCTGTAGCATTCAACAGTGTACGAACCTGTGTGGCCCGACATCACCCGCCGCCGTCCAAGGCAAGCTGGGAAACTCGGAAACGTGGAACGGTCGCTAGGCCTTGTAGCGGACCATGAAAAGTTATTCGGTCCCGAGCATGAATGATTCCCCGGACCTCGTGTCGCCAGCACCCAGTGACGTGGTGGAGGTGGAGGTGGAGCATTATCACATGATGCTATTATCCTGCCGCAATTTTGTCGTCCAATCAGACGGTTGCGCTCTCTCTCCAGATGTCAAATTATCATACTTGACAACTTGCAGGGCGCGCAAGACTTCTGACCTGCTGCGAAGGGCGCTAGCGTGTTTAGCACATAAAAACTATGAAGGCGAAGCGTAGCTCGGAGTACTAGGGTCGCTTTATCCTTTGTTAGATTCCCTATAGTAATGGAATAGTTTACTCTCTAATAAGTGGCGGTGTATAAGTGAGTCACTGGTGTAATAAAAAAGGCGAGTTCTACACCTGACAAATATAAAGGTGCTTAGTTTGGGGCTATTGCCTTGATCATTAATAATAGCGCTTTCTCTTTAACCACCGAAGATCCTCGGTGTGAGCCCGCTTAGACAGTCGCCGCACTGTCCGTTCGGTTCCGTCGTCAACTGTTAATGACGTCGGTCCCGTAATGGCGTCGGCCCCGTCGATAGCGTCATGTCCTATCACTTAAAGAGTAGAAATAGAGTATAACTAGCAGCAAATAAGGCTAGAGAGTTTAGTAGAAAAAGCTTATTTACAAGGCTATATAAGAACTAGCTAAGAATAGAAGATAGCTAAGGTACTATACTAAAAATAGACTAGTAGTATATTCATTTAATACCACTACTTTTTAGTAGCTAGTTAGTCTATAATAGTATAGTATAATAGTAGAGTTATATTATATAGTTTATTTTATTATATTATAAAGGTTACTTTATATACTTAACTAGAATTAGTACTATAATAGGTCCTAAAGTACTATAAGTATTACTACTTTATATTATATAACCTTAGTATAATATCTAGTTATAGCTACTATCTCTACTATCTAGTCTAGCTAACCCTATAAGCCTTTTATAAGAGATTTCTTTTTATACTTTTATAGGCTTAGTAATATTTATATACTAACTATAATCCTAGGTATAAGTTAGTACTTAATTATAATAATAGCTTATCCCTAATCTATAGTTAGTCTATTTCTTAAGAAG